TTTGTATTTTTAGTAGAGACGGGGTTTCACCGTGTTAGCCAGGATGGTCTCGATCTCCTGACCTCGTGATCCGCCCGCCTCGGCCTCCCAAAGTGCTGGAATTACAGGCTTGAGCCACCGCGCCTGGCCAGATATTCGTCACTTCAAACATTTATAATTTCTTTGTGTTAAGAACATTTTAATTTCATTCTTTTAGTTATTCTGAATTATATAATAAATTATAGTCACCCTATTGTGCTGTTGGACACTACAATTTATTCTATCTAACTGTATTTTTGTACCTGTTAACCTTTCCCTCTTTGTCCCTCCTTCCCTGCTCCCCTTCTCAGCCTCTTAACCATCATTGCAAGAGATGCCTATGTAAATCTTTTTCAGATTTTCAAAAGGAGCACACACATTTGGTAAAGCACTCTAACTAGTGCAGGGTACACACAGTGCACATTTTCTCTTACCTTGCTCTAACCGCTGGTCTCTCAGGGCCCTGCAGAGCAGTATCCTTCCAGATACATATAAACACACATGCCACCCTTTAAAAACACAAATGGTAGCTTATTTTACACGCTATTCTATGCTTTGCTTTTTTCCTGTAATGTATCTTGGAGGTATATAATCAGTAAGTACTGTAGCTCTGCCTCCTTCTTTTTAATATAATATTCCATTCTATGGATGCACCATAATTTATTTAGCCTAGCTTATGTTGATTGCTCTGCTCTGGGTTGTCAGAGCCTCCTGACTATGGCAAAGGCTCACACAGCACGTGGATTTGGGTGTGTACGTGCGTGTGTGGATTAGGAGAGTAACATTGGCTTAGATGACAAAGATTGGCAGCTGAGGGCCTGTTTGCTCCCTGTTCTTCCTGACCCTATAACCAGCTGCTTGCCCCTTGGCACTCTGTGGCATCAGATGTGGTGTGAGGATTTTCCACCTGTTCTTCGAGCTGGTCCAGTGTTGCTGGAGAGCTCTGCTTGCTGCCTTGGTCTGCAGTGGCAGCTGTGCTTTCCTGCAAGCCCAACTTCATATATTCTGTGGTTTTGGGTTTTGAATGTTTCCTAGTGTAATCAAAGGTGGGCATTTCTGTGTCCATTTTGTGTTATTTTCAGTTATCCTTGGAAAGGTAAGAACAGAACTATCTTTAATATTAAAACTAGAAGTTTCCAGGAATCAATTCTGAAATTATTTTGCATCTTTGAAGTGTCTTAAATTTAAAAAATTGGTCTTATCTGCTTATATTTTCTTATAGACTGCCATTCATCATAATCTTACTGTTTTTTGACTTAATTCTAAACTGGCAGCTGTTTAAAAAAATTTCTGAGCAATTGAGTTATACAAATTAACATACAAGATAGAGGTGTACACTGCATACTTCCTAGCAAAAAACAGATGTGTGTGTGTGTGTGTGTGTGTGTGTGTGTGTGTGAGGAGCTTGAAAGAAGAGGTTGGTTTTCTGTACCTATTTAATATATTTCATTGATTATCACTTTCTTCCCATTCTTTGGGTGTCAGAGACCTATTATTTGGCTTAAAAATATATTATAGAAAACTTCATTTTTTAAAATTAGGATTTCTTAGATAAGGACCAGGTTAGACCCAGCCTTTTCTGAGTTACTTCTCACGCATTAGAATTCTTAAAATGGAAGTTTATATTCTAGTGGGCATTGTCTTACGGTTGCCCTTTAGAGCAAGTCAGAGGGTGGTGGTTTCTCTGGGTGATGCCTGTGTAGTCATTAGATTTAGTCTGCAGTGGGACTTTTCTGTCGAGGGCCAGATACTAAATATTTTCGGCTTTGTGGATCATGTCTTTTGCAGCTACTTAGCTCTGCAGTTGTAGTGCACAGGCAGCCATAGACAATATGTAAATGAATTAATGTGGCTGTGTTCCAATAAACCTTTAGTTACAAACACAGGTGATGGCTCGATTTGGCACATGGGCCAGTTGCCAACCCCTAGTGTAGGTGGTCTGTTTTGGTCGTTTCTTTGAGAAATGATGTGTTCTGTTTGTAGGTACTGATGCTTATAGATGCCAGCTTTGGGTTTGAAATGGAAATGTTTAAGTTTCTAAACATCTGTCAAGTACATGGGTTTCCTAAAATTATGGGAGTTCTCACCCACCTCGACTCCTTCAAGCATAATAAGAAACGGAAGAAGATAAAGAAGCGATTAAAACACAGCTTCTGGACAGAAGTTTACCCGGTAGGAAGAGAAATAATTGTTAGACACCAGCAGTATAATCCTTTTAAAATAGACTGAAGAGGCCGGGCACAGTGGCTCATGCCTGTAATCCCAGTACTTTGGGAGGCAGACTCAGGTGGATCACTTGAGGCCAGGAGTTTCGAGCTCAGGGCAATATGGCCAAACCCTGTCTCTACTAAAAATGCAAAAATTAGTTGGGTGTGGTGGTGCGCGCCTGTAATTCCAGCTACTCGGGAGGCTGAGATGTGAGAATTGCTTGAAGCTGGAAGGCAGAGGGTGCAGTGAGCTGAGATTGTGCCACTGCACTCCAGCCTGGGTGACACAGTGAGACTCCGCCTCAAACAAACAAACAAAAAGACTGAAGAGACGTTGCCAAACATCTCTAGAATTTGCCTCCTGAATCCCCATTGTGTATGTGTTCCCAGTCTCTGGAAGTTATCCCTCAAGAGAGCGCTTATTCTGGGCCTCTTGGTGTATCTCATTTGTCTCTGTACCTGCTGCACCAGGCAGTGTCTGGGTGTTTGGGGTGGGGACTTAATAGAGTACATCAGAAGTTTCTCCCAGTTACAGGACCAGGCACTGCCCTTCCTTTCCATACTGCTCTGGTCCATCGGCCACAGAACCGTTTCTGTGCTCAGAGGCCTCACCTCCCCCTCCTCACCATACTTAGATGGATGCCCCTGCTCGGCTGCAGAGCAGTCTGCCTCTGTGGGGTTCTAATAAGTCCTGAAAGAAGCCAGCAAGGC